TTGTGGCTAAATCAGATGCGTTTGGTTTGTAGTATCAGTTTATATGTTAAGCCCATATACTTTATTCTAGCTTCTGGTCAAGCCAATTCACCTATACATTATGAGTCATATTTTGATCTTGTTAATTATTCGTTTATTAACCTTGATTATATTTTTATATGAGCGTATATGTGTACCCTTCGTATCCTATTCATCATATGCCTGTTATTCATTTTTATCTGATTATAAATATTGAGTAATGCTTGCTCATAGCGAGTCGGCTTCCCAGCCATCTCCGCTATGCATCATCTTTGTTTTGCTCGCTAACATTTTCTCATGTGCTCACAGCTTGTTGGTCTACGTCATTTGTTAATAAAAATGTAGTTGCCGCTTCCTTTTGCCTTCTGATTTTATACACCGTTAAGATTGGTATAATAACGATTATCGAAGTGAACTATTAATGAAGCACGGCACTACAGGTTGTATTCTGCATTCTGACCTTAATTGTCTAGTTGTGAAGCTTTCGTTGACATTATGGATAACATTAAAAGCGCTTACTTCACGTAGAAGTGAACTCTTTCATTTCTCAAGTCTTAAATGAACCTGTTTTCATGATCTTGCCTGTGAATGGTAGTCTTCGAAAGTTTTGGCACTTTCATTTGTCCTTGTGTTTCTATCGGGCGTCTTATTTGGTTGATCAATGGACATATGATTGGTTGATTTTGTGGCTTTAGCCCTATCAATAATCAAACCAAAGCTTTCGTAACACTACGTAGATGTTACATATTCATTATCTTCAAAGGATATTGTCTCGAGAAATAACCACCAGTTAATCATTAACATCTACGATGGCATTAATTTTATGAGTAGTAATTACCATGACAACTTATGAAAACACAACTTATGGAAACACATGTATACTGAAAGCCACGCCACATGAAGAAAACATCATTTATGATATTAACCATTTAACAATGTACAAGAGAAATTGTATCTAAACATTACTCAGAAGAGCCAAAATTTGTTACTTCATTCCCATTACATGAAAAAGTGGAGAAACTCATCTTCTGCCGCCCACGGTAAAAATGGCTATCCTCTCAACTTCATCAAAATATGTTTCGCAAAATCATCGCCATAAACTAGGAAACGAACTATCCTACTATATGTCAGGAATATATCATATATCATCACAAGGATTTTAAGGTCTTTCGGAAAAGCAGACTCCCTTTATCCATGAATATCACAAATTATCTGTAAAAGGATATAAAACCTTAACAATCATAACAATCCATACATAGAACCACGAATACGAATTTCATATGCAAAACCTTGGAATTTCCGATCACGGAAATCCAAAGTATTCCAAAGAATTTCTAAAAGTATAGTTTTCAGGTAGATTGATATGTCTTGTGGGTTGAACGCTTATTCAGATCCTAAGCTATTCGGACAACCCCAGGCTAGCACTACTCAGCGACTTGAAAGACCAGAGAGAAGACACGAGTATCAGAGAATCACTTTACTACAAGGTTCATCTTTGTACAGAAAAATCGTAAGTATTTATAGATGTTTGCTTAAGTTAAATCAACATCCTAATTCAGCCAATCCAATAAACGAGATATATTGCTACTGACCAATGATAGCGTGCCACGTTGGAACTCCAGAATGTTCTGTCGTGCTCTGATTGGTTGGAGCTCCTTTTGAGCCTCTGGAGGCTCTGTTGGAGTTCTCTGGAAACCGACTCAACATAGATAATAGAGTGCATCTATCTCATACCATTAGAAATAGTCCCCTACCTTTTCTTTTCAGCTGTTTAAAACATAACTGAAAGTCAGCAGAAACCATAATATGTTTAATTGTTAATTAAAAACGAATCGTCGAATACATACATCACTTTCGATATTTCACTAGTAAAAAATTGTTCACCTATATTCTAGTGATTTGAAGATAATGCCTAAAGGTTCTAGGGTAGGTCGCTGGTATAGGATTCATGGGATGTGCATAATTAAACGAAGAAGGTGTCTAGTTATTCTTGGTTTTCGATTATTCTTTAACTAGATTCATATTTACATAACTCCTATGTTGAATTCTAGGATATTCTTATAACTGTATATATACACGTCCTAGATAGATAGATATCCAAAAACAGTTAAGTGTCTATGTTTATGTATCAATATCATTATATTTAAACAGTGAGTTACTTTAGGTATATATATATATATATATATATATATATATATATATATACATGTTCGATTCTTCTCACTTCCAAATTGCTTCGCATACGAATTTCTTAGCACTCCCTAGGATAGAATGTACTTTCAAACTAAGCTGGTTTGTTCTCTCCCACAGTAGGTTGTTGCTGATGGTATCCGTTCGACGGACATTGAGTATCTTACATGAACAATTATTTAGAAATACTCATACATTTCGATGATGGTTGTAGTAGTTCTCAAAGTTCCAACTCCGTACAGTAGGACTGTCATGACATTTGTATTGAAGATTCTGACTTTGATATTCGTTGACAGTTGTTTTGAGTTCCATATATCCTTCAACTGTAGGAATACTGTCCTTGTTTTGCTAATCCTCTCCTATACATCTACATCACATCCTCCACGTTCATCGATGATGCTACCCAGATACATGAAAGATTTCCCCTTTTCCAGAGCTTATCCATCAAGTATGATTGGGTTGGTATTCTCTATGTTGTATTTCAGGATCTTATTTTTCCCTTGTGTGTGTACAGGTCTACTGATGGGGAGACTGCTACTACACTGTTTGTCCTGACTTGCATTCGTTGTTGTGTATGCGATAGAAGGGTCAGGTCATCTGCGAAGTCGAAATCTCCTTATTGATTCCGAGCTACCCATTGTATTCCGTGCTTTCCGTCGCATGTGGTGGTCTTCGTAATCCAATAGACCACCATTAGAAGGAGAAAGAATGGAGGTAAGCAACCTTATCTCTATCCGATCCTCACTTGGAATGCATCTGTTAGCTGTCCTCCATAGACGACTTTTCAGTGTAGTCCGTGGTATGAATTCAGGATAATGTTGACGATAAATTTATTTCTGAATGTTATGTAGACGATGGTTATGCAATACTGTATGTGTTGTATTTATTTAGGAATATGTTCCACGGGGAAATAACCAGTCTAGACGCTCGAATCACAACACTACGTTTTTAAACGAATTGCTCTGTTTTTAGTGCAGGGAACTTGTGGAGATAGTTAAAATTTAAAGTTTATAACACCGACAAATCTTAAACAATCAATAGGAACAAGGAAAGATTAAACATTTTTTTGCTCTATTATGGGACTCCTCAGAAATATGTATCCATGACCTCATTAAGGATCGAACTCTAGACCTCAAGACTTCTAAGCACGTGCTTAAAAACCATAGACAACTGTGGTGGCATCAAATCGTTCACATGTCTAATATTATATTACTTGTATGTATTCAAGACAGAAACAATTCATTGGGTTGCATTTACAGTTTTCTGACACATTTCTGAGAAATTTAGTTTTGAAATTAAATCATGTATCTAGTTTACATGTGATGAATTCGGTGTGTAATCCAGTTGATGAGTTAAAACTTTTACTTATTTAAAGAATGCTTAAATAGGTGCAGTTAAAGAACGAACTCATGGAGATTACTTTTGGAAATCGTGGAGTAATGAATGAATATTTCGTTTTAGATCTGGACTCTTCAGTAGTTCGCACTCATGACTTCGCCAAGGATCTAACACAGAACATTTAAAGTAAGTAATTTCTTAGCGTTTGACAACTTACAAAGCTCCTATTCTAACAAATAGTTGCTCAATGATCATATGGATAAACTTATGTTGTTGAAGTTCTTGGTTGGACGCATGAGTTATATTCATTCGAAAAAGCAGTGATTAAAAATAGTGTCAATATCTATCACTAACTAATCCATAATCTTTAGCAACACTTCATTTATTTTCTGTGGTGGATAACTGCCTCATATCCAACACGGATGGAACTCCACTGGTCACTTTAGTTTTCATCTTTCATTATTTTGGTGTCTAAATAAATACGTTAATCCTCACATATTACATTCATTTATTGGACAGATATCCTGTCTTCTGAAGTGTATATAGTAAGCATTGACAGATCTTTTGAGTAGGTGAAATGTCTACTTAACCACTTTCAAATATTCCAGTAGTATTAACCTAACAATTGTTGCTTTTATGGAAATTGTATGGATATTAGTTTGACCATAAGTTAGTTGTATAATCATAAGAAAATGTATCACTCAGCCAACATACATTATTTGAGTGAACTAATACTTATTCCCCACCACAATTATATGTTGTTTCATTAAAAGTGAGCCTAATCAATCAATGCAAACATCCAAATTAACGTAAATAAAGAACAACAGTATATGAATAAACTACTCATAAGTAGTTACACATGTGGTTTTTCCGTAGTGTAGAGATTTTCTTATTGATTAGAACAGTCATGGTTGGTTTTACTAATTCGGGTTTGTATAAACTCATTCATCACATATGGGCTGATGTAATGACAAAAAATGAACTGAGCAACGATTACTGGTCAGTAAAATAAAATCAGTATTACATTGCTCACTACTGTATATCTTTTTAAAGCAACCAAACAAGCGATTAAATGAAAATTTTGTGAGATAAGACTAATGGTAATGTATAATTTATGTCTGTTCAAGACAAGACATACTGATAAGCGCGAAATAACATCAGAAAATGTCTAAATCTGATGCTTCCATCTACCACACATTATATTTATTTAAAGTATTATTTTCATAATCCATTATCACTGAACTTCAAAAAAATTAAATGAGAAAGAAAATTCTCTGACGAACGTATGATCATGCAATCAAATGACTACTATTATATATATATATATATATATATATATATATATATATATATATATATATATATATATCTGTAGTGCCGTGCTTCGCTAATCGTTCACCTCGATAACCGTTATAATACAAATCTCAACGGTGCATGAAATCAGAAGGCAAAGAGAAGTAGCAACTACAGTTTTATTGACAAATGACGAATGCCAGAAATATTTATAAACACATGAGTAAATATCAGTGAGCGAAACAAAAACGACGCGCATTGGAGGTGGCGGGTAAGCCAATTCACTTTAATCAAGCGTTAATCAATATTTATAGTCAGATAACAATAAATGACAGACATGTGATGAATAAGATAAAAAGTGTACACACACCTACGCTCGTATAAAAACGGTCAGGTTTAATAAATGAACAGTTAACAAGATGAAAACGTGACTCCAGATGGATGGGTAAATTGGCTTGTCCAGAAGCTAGAGTAAGGTTATGGGCTTAACATAACAACGGACACTACATATCATCCAATCGTAACGATTTATCCAGTAAATTGGTCCAACATTGGTTTAGTTTTCTTAGAACGTTATCATTTGATGGATAAACAATTGAAATGAATTATTTACGTTTAATAAATTCTTGCTACATACTTTGTAATACAACTGATTGATGCCACTGCAATGCATTAAATGAGAATTCGACACTTAAATAATTAAATTTTCTGTCTTGTGTAATTAAATTAACTTGGTTCTATTGATTTGGGATGGACAGCTATCAAGCTTCCACAGCTTGGTTTCCATTGGTCGAAACGAAACTTAGTCATATTGCCCACTATCCAAATACGAAAAATTTGTAGTCCCGAGGTCACAGATAACAAACTGAGCCTCCTTAAGAAAATACTTATCGAATATGAGTATCCTTTGATAATTATTGATAAAAATATAAAACCCAAACTGCAAAAGACAAAAACAAACTCGGTTGAAAAAAAAAACACTTGATATGAACACTGATTTCAGAGGTGATTTAGTTACTGACTTCCTAAAGACGAATTTTTTCGATTCTCTAAAATGAACTTTTTCCGCAGAAACTTTGCGAATAGTGTTCTCTAGACGGTTAATGTTCATCAATAATCTTAAGGATAAATTATCGCATCTGATCAACTATGTGTGTATTTATCGATTTATCTGCTCATGTGGAGCCATATATATAGGTTATTTCATGAGTATTTTATTCAAAAGAATTCAAGAACATTACTCAGCTTTGCTAAAAGATGGAAACGACTCAATGAAAGTTCAATAATTGAACACCATGTGAACACAGGTCACTCAATCGAAGCGGACTCTGTGTTCAAAATCATCTACAAGGTAAGTAGAAGGCTGCAAAGGCAGTTACATTGCATCTTATTAGCACTGCCGAAGCACTAGCTATACATCTGGAAAAACCAGAATTATGTCTTCAAAAGAAACTAGTACAACCATTTTTTCTACCATGGTCTTAATGTTCCATAATTTTCTTTCTCCTTTATACTTTTCTTCCTTCATAGAGATCTACCTCCCTTGATATTATTTGCGTGTATCTTCCTTTTGTTGTTTAGGGCTGCAATTGATCAGTCTCTTGTTGGCATATGTGGATCCTGCCTCAATATTGCCTTAATTCACAAGCTTTGTAAGCAAAGATGAATGGTGGCTAGCAGTGGGATCCAGGACGCGCGTTTCGTTTTATTTGGAACTTGTCGGCTGAATGTACATGCATCCTGGTGAATTTAAACTTCACCACATTGCACAAGCAGGTGGCTATTAAGACTCAGTGGTTAAGTGGATAACGCGATGAAGCTTGAGGCGGACTGTACTGGGTTCGAGTCCCTGAGTGAGCATCAACTCTGGAATGCAGGTACATACAACTGGCGACTCCCACATAGGACGAAACGTGCTCCCTGGATTTCGCTGCTAGCCAACATCTATCTTTGCTCATTTACTTCCCCTTTTATCTTATTTATAGACACTTTACCTCCAATCGGTTTATTTCTGTTCCTATGATCGTCCTGATTACATTTCACCTCAATTTCATGCTGAGCCATTCTTTCTCAATTATAATTTCGCTATCTGTCTTCATGATGAATATTCGGGCCCTTAACAATTAAACTATTATTGTTTTCCCTGATAAAAATAAAGTTTTAATACCTTTGTTTATTCTACCTAACTGTTACCATGTTTAACAGAATTTTACTATCACTATCATTGTAATTATTATCATCTTGAAAAATAAGCATTTATTTACGCGTATCTAACTTTGAAAATGAATTCGCTGAAAATAGGTGTTGCATAGTTGCTTCGTTCTCGTTTGTGATTTCCACCCTTCAATGAGGTAGGTTTCTATATGTTCTTGACCTGTGAAGTGAATCAAGTAGATGATAGGGTAATCAGTCACCGGTATTAATATCTATTTGTCATTCTATTCGCACATTACCTGAAGCTACAATATGGACTGCTATAAACTATTAACTTAATATTTCAAGGGTGCTATGGCTCTAGAAAGGTCGGGAATTTTTTTGTGTTCAATCAACTGAGAGGGTCGGGTCAGTTTGACCAGAGAAGTAGATATTAGATCAAGAAAATATGGATACACTTTTTTCTGTATTGTACTGTACCCCACAAACATTATGTAATAATGTTATGAGTTATGTTAAACAAGTAACCTTTTGGATGAAATTATTAGTATTCATGAAATGCAAGTACTTATAGTTATTATTCGTCTGACTATTTATTCTGTAGTAAACGTGCACCAGGGAGAATTCTCACTTGGATTACCGTCTGAATCTTGCTTAGAGCAGATGAGCTATAGTCTGGTAATCATCCATCAAAAATATTTGTGTGATCCAATATTTCAGTCTTTTTTACTTACTCGAGTTCGATTATTTGACTCAACAATCAATCAAAAGTAACTCTAGAAATTTCCTACAAAACCAGTCACTGTACTTTTTGTAAACATTTGAATTTCGAAAGTTTTAAACTTATGCGAAGCTTCACAGAGTTAGATTAAATAGGAAGATAGTTGAATTTTTTATTGTGATTAAAAGAATTTCACTGAGTATAGCTTAACTTATCTATCATGGATGTTGATTAATGATCTATCAATTCATGTACACAAACTGACTTTAAAAATGTGTTTGACATGAGTATTTGTGACTGCGGTGATAAACAACACCTGTCTTGGTCCAAAGTGACTGTGAGTATATTTCGGTGAAGTTTGTCACCAACGATGAGATCTTTTTTGGAATTTCTCTCTCTAGTTGCTTCAAATGAATCCAAAAACTGTTTCGTTTCATGTCATTCTATCTTTGACATAAAGTAGTCAATTAATTAAACACACTGTATTACATGGTTTGAATTATTTTTTCTGATGAATAGACCACCCCATTGAATCTATCGGACATCTAAGCAGCATACACAAACCTTCCTATAGATGTCGCTCCATAAACAATCGAAGAATTCAGGATCGTCATCAAACAAATCAAGAAGGGGAAAGCAGCAGGACCTAACAATATAAAACATAAAGCACTGAAATCAAATATTGAAGTAGCTACAAAGATGCTCCACATTCTATTGAGGAAGATTTGTGAGAACAAGTGCCACTGACAGACTTGAAAGAAGGATACATCATCAAGATGTCAAAGAAAGGAAGTCTGAGCAAATGTGAGGATTACACTGTTGTCAGTAGCAGGAAAAATGTTCAACAGAGTGTTGCTCAACCGGACGAAAGACTCGAGATCAACAGGCTGGATTCCGTAAGGATCGGTCATGCACAGACCAAATTGTGACAATATGGATCATCATTGAACAATCAATTGAATGGGACTCGTCACAATACATCAACTTCATTGACTATGAGAAGGCGTTTGACAGTGTGAACAGGAGAACATTATGGAAACTTCTTCGACACCATGGAGTTGCTGAGAAGATTCTCAACATCAATCCGAATTCATACGATGGACTATATTGCAAAGTCGTTTATGGAGGACAGCTGACAGATGCATTTCTAGTAAGAACCGGAGTCAGACAAGGTTGTCTACTCTCCCCGTTCCTCTTTCTTCTGGTGATTGACTGGATTATGAAGACCTCAACATCCGAGGAGAAGCACGGAATACAATGAACAGCTCGGAATCAATTAGACGATTTGGACCTAGCAGATGACCTGACCCTCCTAGCCCATACACACGAACAAATAAAGACGAAGACAACTAATGTAGCAGTAGCCTCTGTATCAATAGGCCTTAACATAAACCAAGGAAAAAGAAAGATTCTCATATACAACACGGAGAACGCCAAGTCAATCACACATGATGGCGAAATTCTGGATGATGTGGAAACATTCACGTACCTGGGAAGCATGATTGATGAAAAAGGAAAATCTGATGCAGACATATAGGCGAGGCATTCCTACACGTGAAGAACATACTGAACGCAAAGAAACTGTCCACGAATATCAAAGTCAGAATCTTCAATACAAAAGTCATGATAGTCCTACTGTACGCAGTTGAAATGTTGAGAACTACTACAACCATCATCAAAAAGTATCAGTATTTCTAAATAATTGTTCATGTAAGATACTCAATGTCCGTCGAACGGATACCATCAGCAACAACCTACTGTGGGAGAGAACAAACCAGCTTCCATCTTAGGAGTCGTTGGAAGTGGATAGGATATACATTGATGAAATCACCAAGCTGCATCACGAGGCAAGCTCTAAATTGGAATCTTGAAGGGAAACAGAAAAGAGGAAGGCGAAAGAACACATTATGTCGAGAATCGGAAGTAGACATGAAAAGGATGAATGGCAAGTGTTAAGGATTGCTCATGACAGAGTTGGAAGGAGAATGCTGGTGGTCGGCCTATGATCCTCCACTAGGGGTAACAGGCGTAAGTAAATACTGTATCACATCCCATATATTGAGTTAATTCAATTGTTGGACAATATCGTGTTTTATTCCAGTATATATGACTTCTCAGCGAAAGATATTTTAAGTTCAGATCATTTGTTACACTAGTGGTCAATCTGTAGATTGAATACTGTCATTTCGGATATTATATGCGTCAAGTATTTTAATAGTCGACGAACTATTGGTATGAAATTTTCAGTTAATAATTATTTGATAATGAATTTTTTTTGTCTGTGATGTCAGTCATTGTATTGTCTAATGTGTGATGTACGAAATAAACTGTCTTCTGGGATCGGATGTTTTGCGTGTATTTTAATGAAATACATTGGAAACAAGAACTAGCTGATATAAATCATATCCCACGCCCCGATAAAAGACTTATTATTACCAACAGGGTACTAAGCGTGGATTTGTTTGCTATTATAGTAAGAAATATGTAAACTGCACATCCTAAACAGGGAATCTATGAAAATTTCATTGGTCTTCGTAACAACTAAATGTGAGCTACTCAAAATATATGTATCTTTCCATAAACAGGAAGAAATATTTCTATAAATCTCTAGACAATCGCTATACTGTATATCCTGCCTAGTTAGAACTCTGTTCATTAGTTTTGAGTGAAATTACAGTGAATGAGTGTTGTTATTCCCAAAGATAGCAAACATATCAAACTGCCGAGACAAAACATCCAGTGAACTTATATTTACTGATTCCCCTTGTGTAACAATATATTTGAGTGGTACAGGTTATTTTAAATTCTTCAACAAGTCCAAATTTATGCAGAAAGATAATATGGTTTGTTTTAATAAATATTGAAGTCCGTTGTTAACCAAGTATTTCTAGAGTGTATCCAAACCAATAGAATGCACTTCCCAACTTCGGTAACAGAGTTAATACTTGATGATTAATTAAAGCATGATAGTTTTATACACAGATAAAATAAGTGTGTGAACAGATGAACTGTAATACTATGTAACTGATCGATATTTCAATTCAATTTTCACCAGCCAGGTATTTAAAACTGGTATGATAAACACAAAACACACATGAATAAATACAATGTTAACAAACATACATGTCACATGTGAAGGAAGGAGCAGGAGCGAGGGTAACACAGACGATGAATTCTTTATACATAACAGCTACCAAATAAACTATATTGAGAAAAGTTCTTACAATATTTATCTCTACAAGACAAAAGTCTTTCTTACGGGTTATTAAACTATAGGTAGTGAAAAATAACAAGAGTATGAGTTTGGTGTTTGTATTAGAAAATTCTTGCTAGCCCTCAAAGTTATTGCAGTATCGATTTTTAGGCGTAACAATTAGCCAATAACATAACAGTGTGAAATATTTTAAATTTATATTGATTTTGAATAGATTAGTAGTACAGCACACTAAGTACTTTACTTACTCGATCTATTGCTTCATAATAACTACACAGATATTAGTAATATTAGCGTAGGCGGTGATCAGTTTAATTAGTGAACTGGAAAATATTTCTTCTAAGAATAAAACGGAAAATAATGAAACTGTTGCACCAGTAGTAGGTAATAATGTTTTTCCAGGAAGTATTTTACGAATAAGGAAACAACTTCCGGAAATACCGTTAACATAAACTGGATGATCGGTGTGAACTTGGTTAGAAATAATAAATTGTGAGAAACGCCAAACGATGGTAGGGTACATAAACCTACTCGACTCTTTTTTTCTAATGTTTTATCAAAATCAATAAACGCGTTTTTGCAAATACTAGATATTCATAGCAATGGCTTCCTGTTGTACAGCATCCTTTACTTCTTAGCTTAGTATTATGAACTGGAATTGTAGCTTATTGTAGTTTCATAAACGATGGTTCTCTCTTACATCCTACCGATCACAGCCTATTATGGTGAACGGAATACTACCCAATTACCTAGAAATTTCGAAAAAGTCGGTAACCACGTAGACATTCAGTTGTTAAGTTAAAAGTTTAACCAATTAAATGAAGGAGAGAGTTATATTACTTGCCACTCTAGCAGGAGTATATGAGGCTAAATTTGATTAAATAATTACTTACGCCTATCACCCTTTGTGGAACAAAGGCCGCTGACCATGATGAAGCTAACTAACCATGAACCAATAATTTTAAATTAAGCAACTTAGCAATAATATGCAGCTTCACTTGAACTGTTACAGCATGTGTATTGGATATTTTCTCCATTAAATCTAGTTTTATCAGGTCAACGATGTAAAAGCTTGAGTCAAACTACTAAATAGACGTATTGAACTAAGAGGATATGGGAAGGTACATTGGTTCCGGCTGATCATTAACTACTGTCTGCTAGTTAGTACGACTAATAAGCAACCCGAACAATAGTAAATTGAACGTTTGTGACAACTGGAATTACCATACTGAGAAAAAAAAGATGTTATCATAAAAATGGGAAATTAAAGCTGTTAACTCAGACAGTAAACCCATTAGAAATATTGCAAGAACAGAAGAGAACATGAAAGTTTAGTCATAACTTAAATGATAACAAATGTTATCTAATATAACTCATAAAATTAGTGTAAATCATTTATAAACCATCTTACAATAATCTGGTTGGTAAGGCACTCAAACTTACCCACCCCGTATGAATAAACCAGTTAGATAAAATAATAATTTATCCGATGAACGTAAAATCTAGCCGGTACACTGACTTAAAGTAAACTTTGTTTATGAATACAATAAAAAAAATTTTTTTTTGAGATGAAAAACAACAAATTCAAATCACAAGTGAAACTTATCTCGACCAAATTTTCTAAGAAAAAAACTCTTGAGTCTCAAAACCCAATCACTTACAATCAGAACATAAAAATTGTCGTCAAATATACGGCAATAAAACCATCTATAACGATGAGTTGCTCAAACAATTTTTTATTTTTTATACAATTATAGATTTCGCTTATCATTCGTTATCACAAGCAAACACATTAATAAATTATAATTCAAAAAGTAACTTTATAGACCAACCAATGATACATACATAATCAGTCATTATGAAGGTAATGATTTTCTCAAATTGATAATGGTAATTAATTTATACAAAATATGAAAGTAGAAAATAGCTAAATGGTAAAAAAAAATTTTCTAAAAAAGAAAAAAACAAACAAACAAACAAAACAATGAACAATAGAAAAGTAAGAAAAAACAATAGCTGTTTATGTCGGTAGAAAAGAAGACAGTGATATGACGAGATTTGGTTTTTCTGGGAAACAATAACAACAATTGGTTTTTAGGAATTTATACTAGTGCATATTTGATGTGATTGTGAGCAAATACCAGATTGTTCTTGTTGTTGAGAAACTAGAATGCATAATTTTTCTTGGGAATCATTTTCATCTTGTTTGACAGCGATTTCAGGAGTATTATTACTAGTGGTGTTTTGACATGATATTTGCATCTGTTCAGAATTTGTATTATCCTGTTTATTTATTTGATCTAGATAATCCAGACATTCAGCTGAACTTAGTTTCACAGTAAGATTTGTACGTGGATCACAACCAGGATGTGTTAGTTCAATATGTCGAACAAGATGGTCTTTACGATAATAAGATTTATCGCATATCTTACATACGAAAGGTTTGAAACCAACATGACGAAGAGAATGACGTTGAAGATTGGATCGTTGAGTAAATTGAGCACCGCATATAGTACACCTAAATGCTTTATGCACTGCAAATGTGTGTTCACATAGTAAAGTTAATGATGTAAATGGTTTCCGACACTGATTGCATATAAATGATTTGGCATATCGACGATTAAGGACACTTGAATCATCTGTTGAGTTTATGGATTCTTTGGTGGAATTCTTGGGAAGTGAATTAGATGACGTTGTATGTTTTAATTGAGGCGAAATAACTGTCTGCAAATTATAACTGTTAACAGGACGGGGAATAGGCTGTTTATCAGTGCAAATTCGAGGTAAAATGGGGCGGTGGATAGTTGATAGTACTGTTACAGGTAGGGAAAAAACACTCACATGAGGAAGAAGTGTAACTGCTGAGACAGGTAAAAACAAACCATTTGTTGGCCCACTTTTCATCGGTGTTACAATTTCAGTGACTGCTTTCGAGATTTGTTGAGCTGGAACGGAAGTTGGTGATGAAGCAGTTATAGCAGGTACAGGTTCGATAGGATCAGAAACAACAGAAGTTTGAGGTATTTTACATGGTCGACTTAGCTTCCGTTTACGTCTTGAGATCGAAAAGCCATACTTCTTTATAACGTCATCAGCTTGTCTTTTAATCGGTGAAATCGACTCTGTAGATGTATCCATAATTCCTGAATCCGATAAGTCTTGATTAGGACTGTCGTTTTCAAAAGAATGATCATTTTTTTCATAAGTTTGGTTAACAAGTAAACACTTCATCTTTTCTTGATCAGCTTGATAAACCACAAGAGCTTGTAGTTTTAGTGATTTTGAAAATGGAGGGAGGACACGTTCAATCAGAAGTCTCGTAAGCTCTTTTTCTTCAGCAGTAGGTTCGTGTTTATGGACACAAGCTGGTGCGTCTATTTGGGTTACCGGAAGAGATGAACCTTCGTCTGACGAATCCATTTTACAACTGACTGAAGTTTCCATCTATAAGTGACAAATTAGATGTTTTGCAAATAATTACTGAAGATATTTTTCATGTAGTACTAGAAGTTTGATTGGACGTTATGAAATGTGTATGTGTACTTTTTAGTACCCATAAATATCAGTAGGAGAAAATTAATAAACATAAAAGTTAAGAATAAGACCTTCTTTAACTACGAAAAATAAATACTACTCTAGTTCACGAGCTCTCTTAAACTTCTGCGTGTCCACTGAAAGTGTAATGAAGTCGTCTTCATTCGCTTCGGTTAAGAGACGCTACAAATTCATATTTTGTGTTTATGAAAGTTTTCTAAATATGAAAATCGGAGATTAGCCAGGATTGGTACGTTAGGTGAAAGAACCGATGATGAATAAAAGTGTTTGCCTTCACACCTCTTCTTTCCATCAAATTTTTTTAACAAAAAAGCGTCAAACACACTGGTGTTCAAATTTATTATTTTTAAAGTTTTGCGTTTTCCCGTTGCTAATTTTCAAAACTGAATCTTGATAAATCTGTATTGGCATATTTACGCTCTGAGGGTGGCACACAATCACTCATACTTATGATTTTACAATATATATGGATTTTGTTTAAGAGTAAAATCATGAACGCGCACTTCACTCACTGTGGGACTCATCAACTGAACGTACCATTACCCTATGTCGATTTTCGGACTAGGACTCAAACACAGCTCACTCCCACCTCCAATGACACAACACTTTTCGGCAGACTAATCATTCTAGATAGCCACTAACTTTTCTAACAGGTATGAGGTTGTTATTCGTAAAGGTTTGTTTTCCAGCTGTTGACACTAAGGGCTGGTCGATATCTGCATACTCAAATCACTCCTTGGTCAAAAGTATCAGAAAATTAAAAATAAGGCAAAACGACTAACAGTAACATATGGGGTTGGTATTTTAAATCATGAGTTTGCCTATTTTGAGCAAAATATCCACAGCATTACTGCTCTCATCCTACAATACGCTCACAGGAAAGATCCATTTGCAACTGGGTCTAGATATTTGCTTTTTCACTTTGAGTAATTGCGATATAACAAGTAATATGGGATAAATTTGTGAATGATTATGTTTATCATAATAGTATTGAGCAGCTTAAAATCATCTTGAATTCTAAAAACTGTATTCGTCAGCACACCATTCGAATAGGCAATATTTCATTGGGTCCTCGGATTAAGTGACGGAATAATTATATAACTCAAAATCTGGATGTTGGTTATGAGTAGCTAGAAAGGCATATTATATAGTAGCACAACTTTTATTGAAAGTAAAATGTTCAAATTCATAGGTTCTCTAAACACACCACATGAATACATTACATTTTAACCGTAATATAATAACTCAAAACAAATCATTAGATACTCAATGCTGATTACATACCTCAGAAGTTAATGTGTTTTTTTAATGAAAAGTGTGGTGCGAAAAATTGTAATAAACCACTATGTATTTGATTATTGTGAGTTACCAAACTCCTGAGAAAGATCAATGAGAATAAATAAACAATGAGCCCAGAGAGACTACTTTAAGTCTTTTTTTCACTGATCCCTTGTTTTTAATGGGGGTTAGGGAAGTTAAATTAATATAAACACATTAACGTACTGTTAAGGTAGTTGATATGAATTATCTATACCTTCAGAGTGAGCAATTAATATGTGTTAGGACGGGGTTTGACTTGTTTCCCCGTTATATTTCAAAACCGAATTCACGTACCACGGCATAACCAATTTTGACACAAAGACATTACTAAATAAAAAGAAACGAAGGAACTTCCTTCCCATCATACAATACAGGATTCCATTCTATTGTTGGAACGCAGTATGACTGAAATGTGTCTATAAATACAGAAAACGAAGTACCAAATAATAAATCCGTCTTAAGACTTTACTACAACTGACTACATAGGTCAGAAAGCTAAGACTAGTCGAAAATGTCATCTTTTAGGGAAAATCCAGGTCTCGTCCAGTAAGAGGTTTGATATATAGAAAGACCGATCTAAGAATTACTTCCATAAGCTCAATAACCAGTAATGTTAACAATGTTTGTATTCACGATATGATGTTAAGGATTTCTATTGTGAAAATCAGAACATACATAAGCGAACAATATTGTTTCCAATTAGATCACCACCAGGCCTTCCTACAATAAACATGAATATCTACATAGGTATGTGAAAACACTAAACCAATCAAGGTAATTTATGAACCAATGACCACAGTGAAATAGATAAATATTTATGTGTGTTGGAGTCAAGCCTGATGACGATTTAACTGAAAACTATATTGTTCGCTCATGTGTTGTTCTAATAATAAGGTGCCACTTTGAAAGAATGGCATTTTATGATTCCTGATGAGTTCCATTTATTGACATGATGAAGGACAAATATTCATAAAAAATCAAAATTGGCAGCAGTCTATCACTTAGAGCTTATGTTGTCCCTTAATTTTATAGTTTGTATAGAGAAACTATGAGTCATTAGGACATAACAAGAGGATTACATCGAACATATACGACATTTAAGTGGTTAGTAATTGTTTCTTGTTAAACAGTACAAATTACACGTAATCCTTTATTATTGATTACTAGTCACACTATGACGAAAAGTAACCTAGTAGGTTCAATAGGCAGTGAAGAATAAATGGAATCAAATTCGTTGAATAAAACATGTTTCATATATAACGGTGTTTTATATTGTGAAAGACAACTTACTGGATACTCAAGTAGAACCGTCCAAATCTTGACGATGTGTAGGGGGTGAGAATAAAAAAGAGCAATATCCACTAATCAATAATCAACTCTATGCAATGCGAAGTAGCCAGCTGCCTCTAAAGTAGGACCAAGCACAAACTAAGCATCGTTTAAACCAGGGATAGAAATATATTTGATCGATACGTGCTACAACTCTTAAGGCTGTGCCTACGCAGGGCTTATATTGATTATTCCATTTTTCTAAAAAGACACAATGAGATTGGGCGCATGCATTTTGTTATGTCCAATCACAAAAAAGTCAAAGCAAGCCTAGCCCTGAGGTCAATTATTTACTGTGAGCTTATTGGTGGGATGGTCAGGCGGGATGTTAGGCTTCGCCAATCACAACGTTCGGCTGTCTGTGCTTAGTTATGTGGTTTTTTAATCAAATATTTTGTGTTACTACACGTCTTATACTTGGTCCATTTTAGTTTGGGTTCGGTTTTCCTCTTATCTCTGATTTCTTGTTGATTTAAATTTCAGATTATTGCGCAACCTTACAAATTCACTGTGAATAGCAAATCGCACTTATTCTCACTTGGTTTCTATTTCTGTTTACGACTATTAGTTAGTCAACAGCCTTTAATCTCTGCCTTAAAGGACTCATTCCGTGCTCAGTAAAAATTCCTTTTATAACTACTGCACTATATTGAAAAGTGACTGCGCAAAGAGTAGGGGTCGTTAAATTCCAACACAGTGATATGGTGTTGTGCTCGTTGTGAGATTTAAAGGTCCTGAGTTCCATCTCATGATGGGATGATTAGTGCTAACTGCCGAAGCATCCTAAACTTTAACAAACACCAACCCATTAGTACCTGGTTTGGAGTAGTTCTCTACCTGGTTCTAGTCCTTATCAGAAACAAACTTCGAAAATCTTAAATTTACGCACCTTTTTTCCTATATGTGTTTATATGTGCTGATTAATTCTGGTACACAAGCAAAAGATCTAAATGTCATCGAAACTAATGATAATAATAGTAATAATATATCAAAAAGACAATTACGGGATTTATGCCAGTCAACAGGCATGATCAGTTTGATATTGCTAGTGACATTAAATATAGAGGACATATGGGATAGTAGATTGTTTGAAGTGTTCTACTTTAAAAATTGTTTAGGCAGTACATTTTTCGCAATGAAGGGTGTCAGCCGGGAACTTTCAATTCTTTTTAAAGTGGATATCCTGTTGATGTATGAACAGTGTACTCAGGGTAATTATACAGATCTACAGATGTGGAAAATAAAGCAGAAGTAGAGAGCTCATGACAACAAAGGCAATAATTATTATCATAGATCAGTCAGTGGAGTCGAGGGTCGGTATCAAAGTCTCAGGTTATTACTCAGACCAAACATTGGGGAGGAAGCTCACGAATCAAAATCTCAACACTCTTCTAATGACGATGAATTTCTAGGAGAGCAACGGCCTCTGGTTTGTGTCTGTGAGGCATCTTCACGCCACCAGTTGCTGGGGCGCTCTTCTGCTTGTTGGCCAACTTCTTTCGCGATGCCTTACCTCCAGTTGATTTTTGTATAGTCTACTCGTTTACTGCCAATTTGAAACACCGAGAGACGATTATGTGTTTTAGCGTGGATAACAGAAGGCAAGATACCATTGTATCTCCCCACCAGCTAGGGGATACAAATAACAAAATTGAGAGCACTGAATCCAATTGGATAGGTCTGTTTACAGTTAACTAGAAATGTTAGCATGCATCAACAATACGAACTGGATGACTCAATAAAGATGATCTATTGGTAGATATTATGATAAAAGTGTGTTTTGAATACTTGTTTGATCAAGGCAGCCGTTGAGAAACCATAACAAACACTAATGATTTTTGAATTAATAATTAAGTAATCGAGAATAAAATGTAAGGGAATTAAACTACTTATAGGTGGCGTATTTACATAACATTCTTTGGGAAGTAGTAAAATGAGTATTGAATTGATTTTCTTAAAACTCAAATACTCATTTCCCTGGGATTAGTAGTCACGAGTTTCATGAACCTGCCATTTTTTTTTGTAAAGTTCCCATTGTGATGGATATATTTTGGGCTTAAGATATTCCCTACCGGGAAATGAAATACAACTTGGTTGGCATATACAAAATTTCATGTTTAAACTGTAGAGAGGAAATGCTAAAACTGATGCTTTAAACATGAGAAGAAGCACAGTTTCATCCGAATTGGATAAACCACAAATGATGATTACCAACTAATGAAATTCAACAATCAAGACAGCTTTTGCCTTCATTTTTTTCAAAGCAGTCATAGTTCTTTAAAACTATTAAATTTGACAGTCATTATTTGCGAATGGTTCTAAAATTGATATGAAAAACAAGAAATCCTTAATGAAGATGTATCTATTAGTACTAAATACATTAGTTGTTTGGATTATATCATTTCCTGAGAAAACGTCAGTATTAGTCAGCATAGTATTGTTTGATAAATTGTCAAATCACGAAGTCTATCTTTTAAGGTACAATTGATGTGGACAGAAAATAAGGGAAGTAATTTAAGTACCGATACAGATTAATATACGTTTTACACTGTTTGTTTGAGTTCACAGATTATAGAATATAATGAAACGCAAAATTCTCAGTAAATCCTGTATTATTTCATAAACAGATGTTATAGCGGCTCTAAAGTTGATTCCCTACTAGTTGGAAGGATCCGCAACATTAGATGGAAAATTGCTTATAGTATGAAAAGTCAAGAGTGTATCAATACGTCACATCTCCATCAATATTCCCTTCACTGAATATCTTAACATTTTCCTACTATCACCCAATTGAATGGACACACCCACCAACTAATTGCTTTAACAGCTTCACTAAGTGGTCGATCGCCATTTTACTTAAGGAGGCTATGAAAATTGCTAGATGCTTCCCTGAACACCAGATATCCAATTTTGGCGTCCCATTAGCCATATACTTCGGACCAAAGTTTTCAGTAAGATATTCAATTATTTCAACAGCTCACAGAAATTTTGGGATGTAAAATATGAATTTCTGATTGTCATCCTGCCATAAATTGAATGATAGAGATATTTAATCGGAAGGGGTTTTAATGGATATTGTGGTAATTTTAATAGTTGAGATCATGAGTCAATTGAAGCTAGGTTTTAAACGGTAGTCTAGTTTCAATTGACTTATGATGTCAACTATTAAAAGATATTTAATCTTCAGCTTAAAACCAGTTGGAAGTTTACTAGGAGTGACTGCAGGTGCAGTGACAAACTTTCTCCAAAGTTGATATCGCTCAACACAAAAACAGCACATCGTTCATTGTGCAGCTGAATTGATGTACGGAACGATATCATGTTTTACAAGCTAACATTTCGATCATTCAGACGTTGATGCAGTAAACGTATCCAGCTACGCGCAACCGGTTAACATACAATGTCGTATTTCGTAAATCTTCGTATCTTAACTCTTGGTCTCATACTGTATGACAATAGGTGAGCGAATAGTGCTTGAATTTTTAGGGGATACCGTTTTATTCTGAGAAATCTTTCTTGCATGTCAGAAGTAGTAAAGAGATTCCTTCTACAAACAATGATCTTAAAATTTTCGTACTGCCTTATTTACCAATTCCATACATATTTTAATCAGTTCCAATAAATTTAGGTTACGTATTAATTCATACCTGCGAGATTCTTGTTTTCATTTTGAAGAATTCCTATTGTTTCTGAGACCACTGTAATATCTGTTACTATGAAAACTAGTGTCGCATCGCAGTGAAGCATTCTTCCTATTCTTCCTACAGATCCTTTATTTCCTCGATGAATTCAATGGAAGTGTTTCTTTTTCATTGATTCTTTCATTAATTTGAATGATTGCCTATCAGATGGTAAAATAGTTATATCACCATTTACAGAAACATTGACAAAGAGTTTACACGTTCGTGTCGAAATGTCTTTTTTTAAACATATCACGAAGTTGTCTTCCACTCACAATTTATTGAATGTCAAGATTAACCAATGTTCATCTAAAAATCTACAGCATAATGTCGAATAAAACAAAAATTGATTTAACTTCAATTTAATGTTTTTCGCTATTTGAAATAGTTGAAAAAAATATTAGGAACAAGTATAAGACGGAATGATTCGGTTTTAACGCCATAGACTTAAAACAGTTTTGTCCGTAACTACGTTTAGTTTTTATTTTATTTTATCTTAATATACCCATGTAACTTTTACCCAATCTATAGTATATTTAAAACAATCATCTTATTTCTGAGCCATTGGTAATAATAGATTTTTAAAGTTCAAATTTGGTAACTTGACCTTGGGCTATGCTATTTGTGTAAAGGCTAGTTCTATTACCTCATGTCCATGTTAAATAAGCTGTTTAGAGATTGAACCTTCCACTAAATAGTTGAGAGCCGATTGTTTTAACCAGTAGTATATATTTCACAGTTATAGATTTATCACTACTGAGTTATTTTAAAATGTATCATACAGCTTTAATGTAACTATATTGAATGGAATAAAAACTTTGTTTATGGTTTTCATGCACATTCGAGTAATTCCAATATTATATTTTTGAATCAAAGGTAAAAGCTCAGTCTGAGTAGGAAGTAGCTGATGTGGAAAATAATGGATTTCTATAGCTTCTATATAAGGTATGTACAACCAAGGTCGAATTATATCATTATCTAAATAACCTTATCTAGGTGCTACCTAAGGATTGCTCATTTCTAGTCTGGGACTTCAATCATTATGTTTGAATTATTAGCAAGGAAAAAAATCGACTAAATCTAGTAAGTCAGTGAATGAATTGTGAAGATAATATTTACATAGATGATAACATACATTCGGCCATCAGTAAATTTTATTGAAGTTATTTTTACTTCATACATAATCTTCTCGTTGTTATATCTTATTAAGAGTCAATCATGTCAAAAAACTGTAGCTTCTTACGAATCACTATTCTAGAGATTAGCTACACTGCGGTGAATTCTAGACCCATTTCAGTGAAATCATAGTTTCAATAGAAATAATTTTACAAAATACGTTGATTCTAGTAACAGAACTTAAAATAAACGCTAACATGGATTTAAGACTGGATATTTCTTCATAATATTGTAAAACAGATCTGGTGGCGATTACAAAACATCATGAAAATGACAACTAAACATCGCTCCAGTT